GAGTGGGCAGCCAGAGAGACAGCGCCAAGCTGACGGGGGGAGTGGGAAGGAAGTGGAGGTATAGGTGGAGAAAGACAGGGAGACGCCGGGAGTGGCAGGGGCCGTGGGAGGCAGGGAAACAGGAGCCTGGTGACTCAGCCTGGTGGGGTTCTTTGAAACTCAGCAGGGAAGCACAGGCAGGGCAGGTTCTGCTGCAGCCTGGGGAGCCATCTTCCCCCAGCTGGCACCTTCTCGATCTCTCCCTGCTCAGTCAAGGAAAGCAGATCACCCTCCAAACTGGGGCAGCTTGTGGAGCCGCTATTCTCTCCTTCCAAGACAATGCTGGTGTGCAGCCACTCTGTCTCCATCTGCTGCGGTTCCTCATCTAAGCAGGAGAGCTGCCAAAACCTGGCTTGGAAGCAGAGCTTTCCAGTGGTCAGGCTTGGCCCCAAGGCGGCAGCACAGAGGGTGTTGCGCAGGCATGACCAGGGCAGTAGCTTTGCTCTGTCAGTCTGTGCCACCCCCAGCAATGCTCACATCCCCCGGACCTCCTGGAGATGCCGTGCTTTGGGTGGGAACCTGCTCTCAGAGACAACGGCAACCCCTCCAGCAAGGCATGATGTGTGTTTGCAGGCGTCTGCTGAAACCCATCTGAGTCACGCTGGTGCTGCAGGCGTGTGATGGGGTGCAGGGCGGGCTGGACGGGAGCGTCTCCAGGAGCGTGTTGCCTCTTCATAGGCAGATGTTGAGCTCCAGCACCAAGGGCAGCCATGCAGGTGGAAGGAAAGCTGGGGCTGGAAACAGCATGTACCCCAGGTGAAGGTTTCTTCTAGAGCAGGGGGACATTTCCTCTGTGCTTTTCTGTGGGCTTTTAAGACATGATCCTCAGAGGTCCCCACAATCCTTCTTGAAAGACCCTATAGCATGCTTGACCTCCACTGGATAATCCAGGGAGGCAGCAGGTTGGGAAAGGCTGGGAAAGAGATACTTCCTTCTTTGAACCCTCTCTCTGTAATGTGGCTGGGATGCAAACCCAGGGCTCCTGGTGGTCTTATGCCCATTCCTGGGTGCTGCAAGGAGCTGCATGCTCAGCATCCCACCTCGGATGGAGAAATGCAGAGCATTTCAAGGAAGGGGTGTCACACCAGGGTGTTTCCTGCAGAGAACTGGGCAAAGTTTTGACACCCAGCCTCCTCTTCATGTCTCACAAAATATCTCTTGAGAGTAGCATGAGGGTTCACCAGCCAAGGGGGTGTCAGCTGGGTGTTTGAGTGACTTGCAGCAGCCTAGATGTCCCAGCCCTGGTGTTTCAAGAACATCACAGAACATAGACAATAAAGGTTCATCTTCCCAAGGATGTGAAGCTGTGGCCTTTCTTTCATGGTCAGTAAACTTGTATAAATCCCACCACCTGAGTTCTGGTGGGAGCCAGAAACCGAAGGTTACACTGTTGCATTGCCAGGCTCCTGTACCAGCCAGGGTCTCATCCCTATCCGGCCTGCTTTGGATCAAAATCATGAGAAATCAACAGAAATAGGGCCCTGGGTGACTACTGTCAGCCTTGTGGGCAGAGTATCCCCAGCCTCTGCAGGTGTACCTGCTGGAGTCCCTCCACTTCTGCGCAGGAGGAGTGATGGTTGGGAGCAAGATCCCACTGGGGGCTGAGCGTGAAGGTCCCTTTGCTGGATTCCATGCTAAAGGCCCAGTTCTAAGACATTGCCATGGCATTGCTGAGGGACTGGGCCTTTCAACAGCATTCATCTCTGCTGGGCTGTGCAATCAAACCTATGTCCCTGCCCAGGCCATGTCCTTCTGCGGCTGCATCATGCTGATCATGATGAAAAGTAGCCCAGGCAAGAAGAAGAAAGGACAGGGCTCCTCAGGATCACAGCTAAAATATTCCTTACACCTCTTTTACTGAACATCTCTCCTCTGCTCTTTTCAAGCCTCCTTCCCTTGCTCCCTGCACCCAGGTCCTTGCCCCCAAGCATGCTTTCCCCACTTCTTTCTAGGTGCCATATCAATCAGGGTGAGGCTGGCAGCAAGATGGAGTCCTCCGTCTTGTCCCTCCAGAAGGGACAAGTCCCCCTGCTCCTCACACATGGCCTTCAATTTAATCTCCCCACAGGGTTAGCTTGGGAAGGAGCGGGGTTTGATTGTGACTGCAACACATGGCCGATTCATTGTTTGATTCCATCTCTCCCTCCTCACTCGCAAATGATTTGAGTGAAATGAAATACATTTTAGTAGTCAAATCTGTAAGGGGGGGTCCCATTGTGCTTTGACCCTACAGGGCATTCTGTATGCCTAATTTGATTTACACCCAAAATGTTAATTTAATGTACTGAATTTTCTCCCGCACCTAAGTAATGCTGAAAATTAAACAAGATCCTATAGAAATGTTTGTGTGCCCTTATCTCATTAGTGTCATTATTTATTGAGTGATTACAGTGCTTGGGCTCTACGTGCAACATTGCTTCAGTGGGTGCATGGAGAAGGACACCAGCAGCCCACAGACACAGACAGTGACATGTCTGTGGGCTGCCTTGCCGAACACAGTGTGGCCCCAAGAATTCCGCTTCATGCTGCTGCATGTGGCTCCCTGCAATGGTTTTGGTGGGTTTGTGCTGTGAGCATGCTCCCCAGGCTCTTCCAGGTTAGAAAATACCAAGGAATGGTACTTTTAGGAAAAGCAACAACAAGACTTGGTCAACAGTCTGTATTTCTACCTGCTAGCTCAGGGGGAAGGCAGCCCACCACCACTGAGATGCTCTACTTCATGTAGTTGATGTCTCTCCATCCAGCTCTTCTTGCCTTGCCAGAGGCTGCAGGATTTTCTCCACTCTGTGTCTACAGTGGTGGTGGGCACACCTCAGCACTGACCACTCGTGTCAAGGCTCCAGAGCTCATAATAATAATTTAGTTCCTGATTCAGCTGTGCTTGTGTGCACACATCTGAATTGTAAGTGAAGTGTGTCCTCCAGGACCTCATTAAATAGGAACCTCAAAGCAGGATTTAAGAAAGCCCAGATGACAGTGAAGTTGTCTCTTGGTTTGGGAGCATTGTGATTAATGTCATTTACTACCTCTTTTGGCTTAAAAGACAAGGAATCATTAAAATAAAAGAAATTTCAAGTTGAAAGCATTGTAAAAAATCAATTAAACCCCACATAGCTGCGTTTTGTCCTGGAGCAAAATCTCAGACATAACAGAGAAATTACACAGCCTTAAAGAGAAAGAAAGAGAAGGTTTTACTTGTGGTATTGCTGAGGTATTACCCGAAGGCATGCTGAGGTGGCTTCTTACTGCTACCTGCAGAGACTCCCTGCAGGAGTAGGGGCAGCAAGTAAGTGCCCCCAGTCCTTGCTGTCACTCCCAGGGCCTATCTCATGGGTCAGCGGTCAGGGCTTAAAAGCCTTTCTGGAGGACAAAGTGCTGAGCGGTGGGGTAACTCCTCTGCTGGGATAAAGATGTCTGTGCCTGTGTGTTGCTCAATTAGACCTTATCAAAACAGTGGGTAGGGCTGCTGTGGCTCATGGTTGAGATTTCCTGGCTGAAAATACCAATTGTTGGAGGAGATCTCTGACAATGTGTCAGCTGATGCAGCACTCGGGGCTGGAGCCGGGGCTTCTCCATCTCTGGGGCTCCAGCCAGTCCCACACCCCCATGTCTCAGACCCACACAAGAGCTCACACCTCTTTGCCCCTGGATAAAGACCTCAGGAGCCCAAAAGAGTAGTGAGGACCTGAGTCAAGCTGAAGTCTTTCACTTGGCTGCGACATTTGAAGGTGTGTCCTTTCCAGAGGCTCCAGGTCCAGCCTCTGAAGTTAAACTTTTGTCTCGACGAAACAAATGGTGAAACTCCCATCAATTCCCCCTGGCCTGTGCTTTGCCCTTAGGGAGGAGAGCCGAAACCTTAGAGAAGAGTGACCAAGTTTGAAAGGCCTCTTCCTTCATGTGGGGAAACAGCTCTGGGTGCTAAGTCCCACCAGCCTCAACTGCTCCATCCCTGTGCTGGCTTTACTGCAAAGATGTGCTTGGGGAGGAAGGCACCAAGTGTGTTTCCACTGCATTTAATTAAAAAGCAGATTGAATATTAGGCAGGAGAAGGTACTCCTGTTAAATACCCAAGGCCACGCCAGGCATAGTATTTGCTACGCTTGCAGACTTTTCAGTGCAGTTTTGTGGGTTTTCTTCTGCTTCTTTTGCTTCCTTCCCCAACCCCCAGCCTCTTGTCTTTATTTCATTTCCACTTCGGGAAGAGGGGTAAAGGACAAGAGGCAAATAAAAAAACAAGGAGTAGGGGGAGAGGAAAGGCTGAGACATTTTTGATTTTAAATCAATGACTGAAAAAGAATGAAACTTTTTTTTTTTTTAACAGAAGAAGGGCTTGTCATTAAGAAAAATAGTAACAACTTTCTCTTCCGGCTGCTGCCCCGAGGGCCTCTTCCCCGGCGCCCTCGGGAGTCTTCCCCTCGACGGGCTGTCCCGGGGGCTCTCAGCGCAGCCCCCCGTGGACGGCGGGACCCGCACCCGATAGTGGTGAGCACTCTAGGCTGCCTGCGGCATCCCGGTGCGGGGGGCGGGCAGTGGGTCCGGCCCCATGGGGTCCCCGCCGGCGAGGCGGTGGGCAGGCGGCAGCGGCGGGGCTTCCCTCCTCGTGTGTTTTTTTTTTTAATTTTCAGACGTTAAATTCTTTTGCAAACATTCATGCCTTAGGAAGGGCTGGAACAAAGCTCAGCTGCTCCAACCGGTCGGACAGGTAAGCAGACTTGTTGACACCGTTATGTTTGCAGCACGCATGCTCCTTCCCAAGTTTCCTGGTGCATTTTTCTATTCCACCTTATGAAACTTTCCTCCCCCCCCAACCTCTCCCCTCTCCTCCCCTCCCCTTCCCCTCCCCGTGCCTCGGCGGCTCTGCCCGGTGCGTGCGGTCCCGCTCCCCCGGACGGCAGCGCAGCGCCCGCGCCCTGCCGGGCTGCGGGCGGGCGGCGAGGTGAAGCTGCCGCTTCGCTCCGTGCCCAGCCGTGCCCCTTGCCCTCACTATGCCCAGAGCCTTCTTGGTGAAGCGCCGGAGCCCGCAGCCGGCAGTGCGCAGCTGGGATGGGCTGCCCGACGAGGAGAGAGCCGACACCTACATCCCAGGTACGGCGCCGGCGGGCTGCCTGCCCGCACCCGTCGCCGCCGGGAGGGACGGAGGGAGCGGGGTCCCCGCCAGCCCCCGCGGGCTGCGGACGGGGAGAGTTGGGGAGAGGGCTTTGCTGGGCCGAGGGAGCCCCGAAGGAGCGGGCGTGCGGGCGGGCGGTGGCTTGGAGAGAACTGTACTAAACGCGGGGAGGGGGGGACGTGGGCAACGCTTGGGGGAAAACTCCCCTCCCAGCGGCAGGGGTGCTGCCCCCGCCGGGAGATGCCGCCCCTATGACTGGCACCAACCCCGGGGATGGCGGGGCGAGGGGAATGTGTGTGTGTCCGGGAAGGTGTGAAACTTCGTTTGCATGAGAAAGGTGGCGGGGGGAGGAGAAGGACGGACCCGGGGCGGCGGGGGTGATGTACTCTAGGCCTCCTCCTCCTGCCCTTGTCCGGGGTATAACGGGAAGGCGGCGGAGCTGGCTTGTTTGAACTTTGGGACCGTTCGTGTTTGAGTTTCCGATTGCAGCGTGAGCCTGGGATCCTCCCCCGCCGCCTGCGGGCCCGCCCGCAGGTTAAACACCGGGGCCCGGCGGCTCCCGCCTTCTGCGTCCCCTCCCCTGCCCCCGGCTCCGTGGTCCCCCCTCTTTATCGCGTCCCCACCTCGCTGCAGGGGGGATCGGCTGCGTGCTGCTGGGCTATGAGGACAGCTGCAGCCTGGAGAGCAGCGGGAGCAGCGGGACCCGGGATGCTGAGCCCAGCGACCCCCCGACGCCCCAGCCTGCCTGCGGCGACCTGGGCATGACCGGAGGGATGCTGCTAGACCTGGCCGTCAAGCGCCCCGTGGTCAGGTCGAAAATCAAGGTAACCTCCCGCACCTCAACCATCTTACCACGTGTGATGGGGTGACCACAGTTCAAGGTCAAGGCTTGGCTGCTGATCGGGGGCACCAGGTGCCAGCAGTCCCTTGGGCTGTCTCTGCAAGAGATGACAGCAAGAGGCCCGTGAACATGCTGGCCATAGGATGGCAGCTGCAGGGCAAGCTTCGTAAGCGATATACTGTAATCTTCCAGTGCCCTTTGCCTTCTCTTATCCTTGCCTGGGACGTGCTGCCCCTGACCTGCTTGGCTCGGATCCCGCAGGAGCTCTGAACTCAGCCAGGAAGGACCAGCCCTGGCAGCTAGGAGTCATGCCCCATGGTGCGTGGGTGGATCTCATTCCTTAATGTGGGGCCTCCTTAAAGACTGCCTTCTAGGTTGTAGTCAAGCCTTCACCAAGGGGGGCTGGGGTGAAGCTTCACACTGCTCCCCTACCCTCTTAACTTATCAAGATAGCAGCTAGTTAAAGGTTCTCCTCTGAAGCTGTGAAAGGCCGTTTCCACCTTGAGGTCGACTGGCAGCCTTGGGCGAAATGAAGCAATTATCTGTCCACTGACTTTGTTGAAGAGCCTCTCTGCTGCAAGGGCAGGATCTCTGGGTGTCCCTTGGACAGAACCAGGAGAACAGAGACGTGATTTCCCTCCCAAGGCTGAGAAGGCAAATTGCTCATGGTGCCTCAGGTCCCCATGGTACCGAGAACTTAACACTGACCTCCCAAACAGCACTGAACATCCAGGGTCCCCTCAGCAGAAGTGGAGACAGGCCAACCCAGCCTAGGAAGGAGATGTGTTCACCGCTGGTAGTTAACACCTCCTTAAACCCTGGCTATTGCTTTGCTGGACAGAGCTGTAAAAATTCCCATTGTCTCTGTGGGATGACAGACTTTCAATCATTGCATTCTCATGATTAACATTAGGTTTTCACCCTGGTTATATGCAGCTGCTTGAGGAGGAGTTATACCCCTGTTGCCCAACAGATTCTTCCCAGATGGCTCCTCCTCTAGTTTCACACCTCGTGGTTTCACAGCTGCCGTTTTTTACAATTTCAAGTAGCACTGCTTCAGTAGTAAGCAAAGGAGGAGGACTAGGAAAAATAACTGGCTCTTCAGGAAAAAAAAACCCAAACGTATTCCTGTCTTTGTGAAGAGCTTGCCCTGCTGCTGTTTGATTTTAACCTACTCTGTATAATTTAACCTGGGCTACTAGCAACTGTCACAGCATTCAACTCATTTCAGCAGAGTTGGGTTTTCTCAGAGTTTCACAGAAACTCCCCAAAACCACCATGAGGGCTGATGGATGTGTGTGCATGGTGCTGCCTGCTCTGCTGGCTTTCTCACATCCCGAGTGTCTATCAGTGAGCATGTCTCTATGTTCTCCCATGAATGGGTAAACTAGCAGTGAAGTATTTGCAACTTCCAGAAACTGAGCTTTCTCTCTGAGGAACGATCTTCCCCAGAGCTGAATCATCAATGTCTCCCTTCGTCAAGTTAGGTCATGGTGTTGGCACATTACTTTTGGTGCTAGGAGTGGGAATGAGATTACCCCTTAATGTCACTCTGCTGTTAATTAACGAGCCAGGGAGACCAACAGAAGGAGATTAGTGCCATTGTTTCAGTCTCTGTTGCGTTAGCACAAGGTGCCTTAGGTTTATCTCTCCAAACCCACTCTTTTTATCACTGCTGGGACCCATAGCAGCTGGAAGCATGATTAGCAAAGGCATCACATAATACAACTTTCTCATACCTTGGAGGACTTCCCATCTCCATCCAGGATATTAGCTGAGTGCAGGAGCAAACATACAGGTGGCCCCACGGAAAGATGCTTGTAGCCTAAGCCTAAGTTGTTGCCTCTGGAAGGTATCCACTACACAGGCTTTGTTTTAATCACTGATTCCAAGCTGGTGAGCATTGCATCAGTCCCCCTGCACATTAAATACCCCACTTGATTGCAAGGAAAATGCGAATGTTTCACCCAGCAGGAATCTCCTGAATGCTTTCACTTTTCATTTTTAATATATCTAAGATTTTTTTTTAATGCCACAACAGCCATCTCTCCTTATTTTGGTTTTTTTCTTCTGCTGGTTTTCTGTTGTTCATCTCGATGCCCACTCACCCAGTCATCTTCCATTCCTCAGTTTACCACTGGCACCTGTAATGATGCTGCACTGCATAGCTGCGAGCTGTGTGGCAAAGGCTTTCGCTTGCAGCGAATGCTCAACCGTCACATCAAGTGCCACAGCCAAGTGAAGAGACACTTGTGCACCTTCTGTGGAAAAGGCTTCAATGACACTTTTGATCTGAAGAGACATGTCCGGACCCATACTGGTGAGAATGCGTTCCCTGGGGACTCACGGGAGGCTCTGAGGAGTAGGAGGTGGGAGGAGGGGTGAGGTGGAATAAGGACAAGGAGAGGGTGAGGGTAATCTATCAAGACCATAATACAAAGCCCAGGTTAACAACGTTTGCAAAAAATAGTGGGGTTGCAGTGGAGGAAAGGGGAAGACATGAGTGTGGACAGAGAAAAATCCTGGTAATGATGAAATCGGAGAACAACTAGTGAAATCTCTGTGAAGTAGTGCAGGTGTACAGCCTGACATCCAGATTCAATGTAGACACAGCCACATGCTGCAATGCCTGGGTCAGCAAGATTGGGATAACCCACTGAGAATAACCTACCTGGGATAACCCGCCCGAGATAGCAAATCACCGCACATTATTGTGAGACCAGTGCACAAAGACAAGCAGAGGCAAGAGGTGGATGAAAGTGCTTTGCCCTCTAGAGGCAGCGAGCAGCAGTTTCTTGGTTTTTTTCTTTTTGCTGTTGAGAACCTTCCCCGCTGGCTATTCCACAGGATGGGGTTGTGGCTTGCTTTTGGCACTGTCTGGAGAAACCAGAGTGTTGTTCATGCTGTGCCTGCAGCTTCTTTAGGGAAACTAGGCAACATACCTGACTTCTGCTAACCCTAAATGCTGCATCCCTTCCTGATTTGGGCTACCAGCTCCTCCAACTCCCTTTTGGAGCTGTTTCCTTCTGTACGTCACGCAGTCCAGATCACTTTGACCACTGGCCTAAACCATTTTTATTCACTTGTCATATGGGGTCACAGCATGCATTAAAAATCAGGAGCAGTGGGTTGAAAATCAGCTGACAGCAGTTCCTGCTCTTGCTCTTGTATTGCTCTCTCAGACTGGAGGGATATGCTTTCTGTGGCCACTCTGCTGTGGATTGAGCTCCCGAGTCCATCCGAAATAATGGTAGTTGTGTTTCTTTGAACCAGATCTGTTGCCTCAAATCTGGCTCACTGCTACAGAAGTGCTTATCCCAGCCTGGAGCAGGGAGAAGGCTGCCATTTTGATTTGCCTCCTTTTTCTTGGTGGAAGCAATGGCTTAAATAAATGTCAACCCCCATCCTCACCAAGGGCAATGCTTTCTGGCAGGTCAGGTTGGCTGTGCTCAGCAGGCTTTGACTTTGCACTGTTGGGGACCCAGAAGATGCATCCACCACATCTCCCAGGCACATTCCATCTTTTCAGATGTGTAGTTACCCAATGGGAGCTGGAGACTATGTGGGCTTGCTCTGCAGTGCCCTTTCTTTGGCTTAGACACCATTAACCAGGCAAACTGCTAGAGGCGACACAAGTATAGTTAGTAGGTAGGAGCTGTTTCTTAGCAGTAGAGCAGTAGAACTCATAAAAATGATGCCCATTTCAATGGGAAGGCGTTGGCTAGAGCCAATGTTTTGGGCTGTTTTGGTTTGTTTGTAAAGCTTTCATTTGGAAAGTAAAGCTGCTGAGTGCGAGCAGGGAGCTACCATTGGGATATGGCTGAAGTGGGGAGTCAGTGCTTCTAAAAGAAGCGATTTTTCAATCTGTATCCTCATCCTTTGAGGCTAAGAAACTTAATCCAAGACACTCTGTTCAGAAGCTGTGGCAGGTAGGGTTGAAATCTCTTTGCAGAATTGGAACCAATTTTGTGAAACACTGGAAGGGGAGAAGGATCCTTTTACTGGACAGGAGTGAAAACCCTGGAAATGTGAATCTTATAGTTAGATTGTCCCCAAATTTACTAGAAGAAATCTGCTGTCACTATTTCTCCTCTCCATCTTAAAACCAGGATGAACACACACATACACTGTATTTGCCTGGTGCCTTGGGTGATGGCAGGGGTGAGGGCTGGCTGCAGCAGTGGTACCAATACTGTATTGGTGTGTATCTTTTCCAGGCTGAGATACGGCATCTCTGAAAGCAGTGACCTTCTTCATATCAAAGTTGGTTGTTGTTCAGGAAAGCTGGGCTATATTTGAATATTAAAAAGAAGGCAAATGGGCTGGAAGTGGTAGTGTGGGCTTTATTGTGTAGCTACAGGTGATCATCTACATGTGCTTTACTGGGTGTGGGTGTTTCAGTGGAAACTGTCATGCAGCATTTGAAATGAGACTGTGCAACAGTAGTGTCAGAGACAGTAAAGGCATCCCAGTCTAGCTTCAGGGTATGAGCAGACTTAAACATTAAAAAGCATCTAAGATACACGGTAAAATAAAATTTTTAAATGATTCCTAATTGATGAAGAGGTTCCCACAGCCCCGATGGGCTGTGCCATCCTGGCGCTATCCTTTTTGTGCTTGTATGCACGCCTGTGGAGCACTGGAGCAGGCACCAAGGATGGTGCCTGCAATTTAAACCTAATTGCCTTCAGAGGAGCATAAAACTGCACCCAGACTACCGTTTGTAAAAAATACATTTTTGTGTGTGAATCCTAATGAAGGTTTGGGCTTTCTCTCCAATTGCAGATTAATGTAACTGAAGCAGTCTCACAGCAGTAGGCATTAGGAAACTTCAGTGTTGATAGTTAAATCCGGTGCACTGGGATAACCTCTTTTTACAAGACTTGCAAAAACACAGTTGAGATGCTGCTTATTGGAACTTCTGTTTAGCTTGGATTTTTGGAAGAAGCATCAGCAACTGAGTGGTAACACAGTGCAATCACAAAGTTGCATCTGTCTGAATGGACACACGTGCTTTGCCCATTTCTGCCTGGCTCACCATAGGTCTGATCTTCCAGATCATCATGTATCACCTTCCATGGGGAAAAAAGGTTAGGTAACTCCTTATATCAGTTTTAAGGCTGGTCTTTGCTTGAAAACTTACTGATCTAGTCTACTAAGTAAAATTCCAACTGGTTTAGGTTCTTTCAAGTGTTGCTTAATCCTCAGCTATTTAAGTACTGGAGGGTTGTTGTTAAATCAGTGTTGATTGGTGGTAAAATGGATGTCCTTTACTGCTCAGTATTTCTGTAATGTTGGTTGTTTGTACTGAACGAAATTGCCCAGGCATTCAAATCACAAGCCAGCTCCTTCTGCCTCCTCTGGAGACACACAAATTTATTTCACAGATTTATTTCGCAGAACATGCTGAGTTGGAAGGGACCCACAAGGATGATTGAGTCCAACCCTTCTTTCAACTTACTGAATTTCTCTTCTAGAATTTGAGCTTGTAGTCTCAGTAATTAATTCTATATTGTACAAAAGTGCTCTCGCTCCTTTGAAGCACTGCAATAGCTGGGCATTCACACTAGGCTGCCATTTACTTAAGCTTCAGTAAGTTTTGCTCACTAAAAGAGAAAAATCAAAATCTTACCGAGATAGAAGTTTTCATTCATTATAAAACCCAAAATGACAGGTTAGCTGAAATTTTTACCTAATCACAGGACTTCAAAAAGTCAAGAGGTCTAAGAGTAAGTTTTGCAAGAGCTGTAATGGCGTCCTTAGGACCAAAGCACAGTTGGGCCCCTGTGATCCTCAGCATCTGCCTACACCTTTTCAAAACATTTCTAGGTTTTCTATGCCTAAATATGTCAACCCATTCCTGAAAATCTTAGCCTGAAAGTAGGATGTTTTATTTAGATAGGTAGTTCCTTGGGCTTGTAGCTCCCCGCTGCTAGATATGTGCTCAGTAGCTGCCAGAGCCTTGCTCCTAAGCCAGCTTTAAGAAACGTAAATCAGAACAGTCTTTTACTGTTGCAGGAATTCGTCCTTACAAATGCGAGGTTTGCAACAAAGCGTTCACCCAGCGCTGTTCCCTGGAGTCCCACCTCAAGAAGATTCACGGTGTGCAGCAGCAATATGCCTACAAACAGAGGCGAGATAAACTTTACGTGTGCGAAGACTGCGGCTACACAGGCCCCACGCAAGAGGACCTATACCTGCACGTTAGTAACGTTCACCCTGGAAGTGCTTTCCTGAAAAAAACCTCAAAAAAACTTGCAGCAGTTTTGCAAAACAAACTGAGCCCTGTCCTGCAGAGGAACTCCAAGGATGATGACAAAGATGAGTAATGCAGTGGATTACAGTGGTCTACAGGAATGAAGTTTACATGTAGGATGAGATATATATATATATATTATTTTTTTTAAACAATTTTGAAAAAAGTACCTGCAATTAAAGGGATGCTTTAGTTGATGGGACTCTCTTGTTGCTAGTAGAACCTCAACTGGAAAGAAATATTCCCATTTATGATGGAAACATCAAACTTTTTTTATCTGGCCAATAAAAATGGAAAGCTTGGAAGAGGCTGTCACCTCTCAGATGGAATATTTACTGAACTGACATTTGGGCAATCTGTCTTCCGTTTCAGCTCTACCACACATCAGCTGCCACTAAGTTCACCTTTCCCCCTGCCACTAAGTTCACCTTTCCCCAGTGTATTTTGTAAAGTTAATTTCTGTTACCTCCTGTACCAATTACTTTTGAGAGGTTTGAGTAAAAAGTGCCAGGTAAGAAGAGCTACTAGTACATTGTTCTATGCAAATTTAATTAAAGTGTCTTAAGAGCAAGAGTACATTGTATTGGTAAATAAGTTAAAATGTGCAAATAACCTTAACTCTGCCCCCGTGCAGTAGCTAACAATTTATGGAAGGGTGATCCAAGGTGAGTTGAAACTCTTCTGAAAGGATGCAGAACTTTTCCTCCCAAACTTTCTCTACTGGCAAATTACATTATTCCAGGGCAGACTTTTGGTTTTGCTTTAGGTACTTTAAGCCATGAACTTACTCTTATGTTTAGATGCAAGTGGAACCTTAACTCTGATGTTCCTGGACTTGTCATGCTTTGAGGATTATTACCACATCCTTTTAACATACATTAATATCAACCCAGAAACCCAAAGAAAACTTGAAGATAAGTATTTTCTGTCATGATGAAATGCAGTTTTGTCTGTATTTTATGGAGGGGGGGAGGGATGTTTGGGGATTTTTTTTTGTTTTATAATCAAATGCTTTGTCACTAATACAACAGAGCAGTGCAATGCAGTGAAAAGGGGGACTTAGCCTGTCTCTGCTTCACCAGATCAGTGCAAAACTGCAGGCACGAATCTGGCTGCTCATCTGTATCCACTGTCAGTTTAGAAGGGTCCTAGTGAGACTGATGCTACCAGGGAAGGATATGATGATGATGATGAGGGACTGGTACTACCTCTCTGTGCTTTTGGATTTCTGTAGTCCCACTCCAGCTCCTATTGACCCAGGACAGTTAAGAGGGTAGCCTGTGGGGACTACTGAGTGTGAATTTAGAGATTTAAAAAAAATAAAGCTGTACATTTGGGGAGGATATGCTGTATTCTATATATGTTGAAACAACGGCTGAAATTAAGCCACCTAAAATACAGAGTGCAGCATAGCCAGGACTTTCATAGTCATTACTGCTAAAATGAGAGATTCTGAGCAATTTTGCAAGAATTGTAAAAAATCTTTTCAATTTGCTTCAGTTTTCTGAGGCATCTGCTTGGGTTTTTGTGGGGAAAAGATTCTAAGGGTTTTAAAGCATTCCTAATGATATTAATACTTTATTCAGCACAACTGTCGGTGCCTGGGACCTTGAAAGCAAGGATAATAAAGTGATGCTACTGTGTTAAGAACAAACTTGTCATTCTCAGGAAAGTTCACAGAATAATAAATGGGAAGTTGCTGGGAAAAAAACATCTGAGGTAAAGTAGAAGATCCTGACTTTGCGAAAAGCTTATGCACTGATCCCCAGTTCTTTGGATATCATGCCATTACAACTGAACAGTATAAAGAGAAGGTTGCTCACTCTGAACGAAGCTTGCTTGCTGGCAAATAATCACAAAACTGCTGGGCTAAGGAAAGCATTAACAGCTAGTTCAGCCAGTTGTGCTGGTGAGACTCCTCCATAACCTGCTCAATGAGGCCTCAGTCATGAAACTGCTGAGTTCTGCTCCAGGGCGGGACTGTTTAGGACAGTCCCTCTGAGCAAAGAGACTAGTGTTCACCTAATTGCACAGGATTTGTGTGCTCAGCTCTGCTGAAACCTCAGTCCTTACACTGGTGCAGTGGAGCCAGGGCTGAAACCCTCCCTCTGCAACTAGAGACACATTTTGTGTGTGTACGTGTGTGCATGGGCTGTTTTTTAACCCCTCCTGTAGCACATACTGGTTTTGGTCTCCCTCCTGTATCACTGCCAGAGCAAATCCCTGTGGAAAGAACCACAGGCACATTGAGGTGGCCACAAAAAGCACTCACAGTAATAGAGAAAGGGAGAAGTTAAAAAAGTAAAAAAAAACCTCTCTGGATGGAGAGCAAAGCTCTGAGAAGCTGCACGTTGTAGCTGAAGTAACTGCCCTGATTGCCTGGCAAGTTTTTCTGCAGAGGATAATGCCCTGTGCACATCAATTTAACAGTCTGGCAAGTCAGTTTAAACTGATCACAAAGTGGGTTTGGGTTTGCGTGACACTGGCAATGGCCACCTGCCAGTTCTGTTACAGGACAAACCAGTGCTAGCCTGTGCCACTACAGAAATGCTCCAGAGCTCACCCAGGGATGCCCGAGGCAGCCACGCTTTCAGAAGTGCCTGACACGAGTGACTTCCACCACTACAGGATGAGTTTGAACATTTACATAGTTCAGAGACATCTAATGGCTGTATGATGCACTGACGGAGAAAGCAATCCCACCCAAACATTGCTCAACTGTTCCCCACTAGCCTGATCTATCAAATCTCAATCAACACAGGGATTTCAGCCCATTTTATCACCTCCTGCTTCTGCCCAGGGATCTTATCTCTTGCTTATACCCACCCTCTTTGTATCCATGGAGCTATCTTTCACAGAAAACTGGCAGTGTTCAGTGACACTGAACCATCCACTTGCTAAAATTCTGTGATGTGGGAAGACACTTGTAAAACAGGTAGAACTTCTGAGAGCTTGTGCTGTGTCTTCCTGGTTAGTCATTTCTGAACCCAGTTTTTCCATCCTCATGGTTTGACTTTTTAGATAGAAATCTAATTAAGCACAGAGTAATCATAACATCACTAGACCAGGTTTGAATAAGTAAGTACCACTATAAGTTTCATTGACACGTTTCCCTGGATCAGTAATATGGAGGAGCACCAGATTTAACACTATAGCTATTTAAGTTTCTTCAGCAGCAAGCCTGTCCATTTTTATTTTAGGTATCATTCTGGCTGATTTTTTTGAAGCTTATGGGTTGGTCATATTTTTATTTGTAATCTGCAGTGGTATTGTGAAAACTCATACATACAATTCGGATAAAACAATAAGAATGAGGGAAAAAGCTTTCCAAGTGTGCAACATACAAAGCAATACTGCCCGACATCATCAAGGCTTATTCTATGTCTTACAGACTTGATTTTATAAGCTTAAAAATTAACTTCTGTTTCAAAACATTTATTCAGAAACTTATCTGAAAAAAAAACCAAAACAACAAACACAAACCCACAAAAAACCCACCCCCCAAAAACCAACCAGCAGCTCTTCATCCCTCAGAATGCCTGGCTTCACAGCTACAAGCCTGCTTTTATACAAAAACTCACCTGCACTGATGTACACTCTCACTTGACACTGGAGATCCTTCCACCTGGGTGGGCTCATTGTCGACTCAGACCCATACCAAGTCAGTAGAGCTCAAGGCAGTTGCAGCCTCGGCCTGCACAGAGCTCGCAAGCCAAAGTACAGAGCCCATTTCCCAGTGCTCTTCTGTGGGCTGCACAGGCTGTGCGTTAAGAAACCTGCAGGAGGAGCTACTACGAGTAGCCAAACTCCCACCTTTCAGAAAACTTGCTGGAAATTTCTAAGAGTATTGTTTACAATTCTGCTCCTCTCTTACTGAGCCACTTCTGTTAAATTATCACTTTGCTGTAGTATATTAAACAAGACTTAATGAGAACTTTCATTATAATTCTTAGCACAGGTCTTCCACTTGTTGTTGTAAGAAAATCCACAAATAGTAACAAGCCTGTTAATAGAGACCTTTCACATGAGCAAGAACTAAACTGACTGAAACCCAGTCTACTATATCAATTTCTTTATCATTTGCATTTCCCTCAGCTCAGACAATGCAGATGTTCTTTTGCTTTAGTTCACCAACACTTTTCAAAGTCTTAGTTCTGCAACAATTTTTTTCTCAAAAATTACCAAAGAAGGATGACTTCATTGAACAGTTTTATTTGATAATAAAAACTTTTCTATAAACCTTAGGTTGTATAAACTGGGGTGGGGGGGAAACACAGGCTAAATAAGTTGACTTTGTCCTGCACAGACCATTGAAGTCACCTACAACATAAGCAAATACATATTCTCCATTCGAAATTCACATGTGGATTTTTTTTGGTTTTTGGTTTTCTTTATGGTGGAAAAAATACCCCTGATGGTAAGAAATTAGCCAAAGTTATTAAAAAAAGAATAAAAGTGGTATACATAAACAAAAGAGTCTTGTTTTGTCTCTGTGCTCAGACCACTTGCTGCTTCTTCCTTTCTTCTCAGTTTTTGTCCATGTACTCTTCAAGGCGCAAAAGCCACTTATTCCAGTACTGCGAGCACAGATCAGGATCCATGAAATGTGAATGCGCAGGGGAGCCGTTCTTATAGGCAACCACGATGAGTCCACAGCGAACCTACAATCAAAAACAGAGCGCTGTCAGAAATTCCACATTCAGATAAAATTCTAAGAACTAAACCTCACTACGAAACATAACAACACATACATATGTTTCTTAAATAAGAAATGGGGAATAAAAAAGGGCAATAATTCACCATAAAATACTTGGAGACTAACATTCAAATGCTCCAAAAACCCAGAGACCAAAGCTCTGACCAGAGGACATGAACTTTCAGTATGAGTGATATTTAAACCTTGTAGATGGTGGTAAAATCCCCAGTGACTGATGAGGTTTTGCCTGGGGCTATATAACCAGACTGATGCACTCTCCAGCATCAGTCTGAATGGAAACAGGTACTTAGGTATGTTCAGACATTCTTCATACCTGACAAATCCAAAATCCCAAATCAATCCCAAACAACGAGTGCTAGTGGGGGGCAGGAGGCTAATAGCAGAATTCCAGAATTACTGCCCACATTTCCCTCTGTAAGGATGACATCTGTTAAGTGCTTGTGTTTACTGACCTCTACACTATTCTAGAAAGTCCTTTGCACAACCTATGAATTAACCTGCTCTCTTCTGCTTCATATTTTTCCCCTTCAATGTTTGTATTGAACTAAAAGTCCTACAGGCCAAGCAGGCTAGAACTGCATTTGGAGTCTTTAAAAACATTATCCCACTGTCTTCTGATTAAGTGATTCACAACACACTGCTTTCCCCAGATGAAACATGGTACAGCTTCCAAACACCAAGTCCATCATTTAGTCCCTTATTTGTTAGTGAGATATAGCAACACACGATGCAAGCAAGGCCCTCTGTAGTGGTTTGAGCCAGGTTTTCCCCCTGAAACTAAGAAAGTGGTAACCCCCAGGGGGTGGTGACCCTTGGGGCTTGACCCAATCAGTGCTCCTGCAAAATATAAACATATCTCGGGAGACCGGAAAAGAAGCAGTGGTACTGGTTGGAGAAGAAGAGGTGGCCATGTTGTGGTGAGGCCACGAGGAGACGGGGCTCCGGCCCCTTAGGGGGCTTTGCCCCCCCCAGCCCCCGGTTGGGGGGCTGCAGGGACTCGGAACAGTGTCAGACTGGACTGAGTGCCTGTGGCTAGGAACTGGGGGAGTTTCTCCCCTGTAAGTAGAAGTGGGAGACGCTGGGAGCAGCGACGGAGCAGCAGCGGAGACAGCAGCGTCCGAAGAGCAGTGGCAAAGAGCCAACTGATAAGGACCAAAAGGAGCAACACAAGCCGGTATGCAGCTAAGGCAGACACAGAGGTGTCTGAGGAGAAGGAAAAGCAGCAACAGGACAAGAGAACCAAGCTAGCAGCAGGAACAGAGTTTCGCGGGGTAAGAACTGGATAAACCAAAACCCCCAAACTCGCTAGAGACCCCTCCGAGAAAGAGGAGGGGGTGGTGGACTGAGAGGAGTCCTAAAGTGCAGTATGCACTGCTGAGAGGAGCGAAGAAGCTCATGGCCTCCTGAGAGATAAGCCAGGACGGCCGAAGGAATGTGTGTGGAGGGGGTGACCTTGGGCTTCCCCCCTCCTTGCTGCAGCTTCAGAGAAGCTGGCAGCCATCTTTGAGGCAGAGCATGGGAGCTCTGCACAGGGGCTTGATTTCCCCTGAGGATACCAGACTGTCACGAAGACCCCCGTGCTTCGTGATATGACCGTGGTGATGCGACCTTGTCTGGGGTTACGTAGTCCACGGAAAGACCCCCGTTTGAGGACGGAGGGCCGAGGGGCTTGGAGACCCCCTCGTGTGTGCTGGCAGAGAGCCAGCAACTACTACTGCTGCCTGGAAGAGAAGACACAGAGAGCCTGCTGCCTAGAGAGAGCCTGCTGCTGACAGACTGGAAGGGGTCTTTTCTTCTTCTTCTCTCCTGGACTTTTATTTGGAGGGAGAAGAGATTGGGCCCATTGTAAATATTATTGTCATGGTAGAGATAGATATAGAGTTAAGATTGTATGCAGTGTATTATAGTATTTATTTATGTGTATAGTCTTTGTAATATATTCCTTTCCCCATATTGAGTCTCGTGTTTTTGTCTGGAAAACCCATCTCACATGGGGTTGAGATGTGGGTGGGGGGCTAGGAATCAGAATTGGATTTTGGATTTTGGGCCTTTTCAAACCATGACACACCCTCCCACACCATTTTCCTGTTTGCAGGCTCTTTTGCTTTATTACTTCTCCTGTCCCTTCCTACTCTTGACACAAGTAAAAACCACACAGAACAAAGCACAGGGGACTGCCCACATGCCAAGTCACTGTGAGTTCATCTGACCTCCTAAGACTCTGAGCTTCCCTTGGTCCCACTCAGCAGGTCCTTAAAATCACTGAAAATACACTGCCAACAGCCAAAGGCAGCA